ACTGACATTGAGGAAGGTTGAAAGAGAAACACTGAATAAAACATTGCAAAGCAGAAGTACTAGACTAGTCAGGCTAGTATTAGTAGCAACAGTCAACACTTAGTCAGACTAGCAGTACTGCAATGATCAACTGACATTGAAGAAGGTCTATGTTTGATCACAGTGAAGTATACATGAAGTATTTGATAATTTGGCAAAACTTCAATATTAATTTATATACTGACACTTGTTGTATTTCCTAGATGCAACTGTTTGACGAACAGAAGATCATGATAGAACATGCGGAATCTCAGGCGAAACACATGAGCACAGGCGAATTGGAACAGTTCCACCTCGTGCAACAACGCATCACGGAACACAAGCTGAAGCGAAACGATATCGTGGACAAACAAACGGAAATCGCAAAAGAAGACCAGATGAACGAACAAGAGTTGGTCGAACTGAGACAGCAAATAAAACGTTTGGACAAAGAAGAAGAAAGGTTTAAACAGTTTGTGGAGAACTTGGGTCGAATTGCGAACAAATCAAGTCAAAAGATGGACTTAAATGAAACCAAAAAACCTTATTTTCCCTGGACTCTGGAATCGAAGAGAGAGAAATCAAATGCAAGTCGTATATTGTCGTGTTTACGTTTCCTTCTGCCATTGTCCAATCGCCGTACTGGGATCTTAAGTGAGCTGTTAAGGGCCACGGAGCAGCCTCTGCCCGAACAAGCTCCGGTCGTTTACGTCGATCGGCGAGCGTGCGTAAAGCAGAGGTTGGATAATCCCGCCACGTCAGTATTTTATCAAATTTTCGAATCGCTGAAAGCTGAGAATATGAGTTTCAGGTCAGTATATTGTCGACTGCATTGTACCTTTTATGAAAGGGGGTGTTTGCCGGGGGGGGGGGGGGGGATTCGCCAAGGAGGAGGGAGGATTCGCCGAAAAGGGAATAGGGGTGCAACAAGGATGATATTGTTGGTTTGACCGAGGAGGGATTGGGGGTTTCATCCGGATGAATGGGGAAAATTTGCTGAGGAAAGAAGAAATTCTCTAAGAAAGGATAGAGGTTTTTCGTGATAGGGAGGGGTATTAACAGTTGAGATTTGGGGGATCCACCAGCGGGTTGACTGAGGGAGGAGGTTGAGGACCTGATTGAGGAGGGGGTTGACCGAGGGAGGTGGGGGGTTTCGCCGTTAACGGAGGGGTGAATTCGTGAACGAGAGAAGTGGAGTCCACTGTGTAGGGGGAGAGGTTTTACCGAGGACTCTCAAAGTGCTTGCAAAGGCATATATGATGATTTTTTCGCATCTATTTTAGGTGGAATAAAAGAAAATGTGAACAATGGTGGGAGGTGAAGTTTGTTGGAGAGGGGATAATTGACCAGGTGGGGTGAATACGCTATTTCTTTTGTTCTCGTTGCTTGATTCATTTCGACGAGCTTTTAAATTTCTCGATTCGATGCTTCCACGATAGATAAATGCACTTTCAATTCATTCCTTCTCATATTCATCTTAGGGTGGTGGTTTTCGAGACTCATTGTCGGAGATTTCGGATGAATTGTGTCCTCAAGACGACGACGTTAACAAGACACTTCCTCTGATAATAAAGACTGTTAATAACAGGGTAAGTGACCATTTTAAAGATAGTATATATACAGCCGTGTCTTCACGTCGATTCTGCTAGGGCCGCTCGTTAAAAACCTGTTTAAATCTCACATATTTCGGATTTTTGTGGACACAAACTTTATTCCATATACAATTCGAACTGTAGGGAACCGATGCTGTTTTAGATACGCAATAAGTTTGCTATGTTTTTGAAATATATCAGTTCAAAATGCAACTGTTCGCGTCACGGCTTAATATTATCACTTTGGAGCCACAAAAAATGGCGGTGAAAGTCTTCTCCGTGAAAAAAAAAACACCGAAAAACCCCGAAATATTTTATCATTTGTGTAAAATCACTGATAGGTTAATAGACAAATAATAATGCTTTGTGATGAGGCCTATTATCTCATTATCTATAATCTTATACGACACGATTCGAAATGCAAAATTGACTAGACACTGGCTGGCTTTGAACATGGTTAGTTTCTGTTGAAGCGATGTTCCTAATGTGATATTTCAAGTAATTTATTGATATGGATTGAGATGTACGGTTAGTTCGTTGGGTTAGCTAGGGGAGGGAGGCATATTTATATACTGGTGTTTACTGAGCCTAAAAACAATAAATTTGAAAAGAAGGAATGTCGAACACGAATACATCCAGTGTATTGTAAGATCAGTGGTCAGCACAATCATAGCGGAACCAAATAAAATATTTCGCATACGACAACTGATTCCTAGATCTATCTATCGGGGTTAAATAAACAGGAAACCCGGCATTTCGAAACTCGGCATTACGAAACTAACGTGAAGTTAAATCCTATCGTTTATGGCAAAGTATTTCGACTTAGGTGATGGCTACACTCCCCGAACGCAATCACAAACACAAAGGCATCGGTTCAGCGTGAAGGAATGTAATAATATGTCGACAACTTAATTCGTCGTTCAACTATACCGTCTGTCATGTCATTGTTTTATTAAATGATGCACCATAAAGAATTTTTATTTTGTTTCCGACTTTTGAAAGGCAACCCGCAGTTATAAACTGTCCCGTCCCTATAATATAAATGTGCAGTTATATATGAATAAAAAAACAAGGAGCTTCTCTTTGAATTCAAATCCCATTCTGATTCAAATGACCGTACGTCTAAATGAATAACGAACAATCACAAACACCACGTCATCGGTTCAGCGTGAAGGAATGTGATAATATATCGACAACTTAATTCGTCGTTCAACTATACCGTCTGTATATAGTAAAAAGTCAACGAGGTACCGACAGGCGATTCATAACTCGATATAGTCTTCAATCGCTTAAAACTTTCAAAAATGTTGGACGACATTATCGCTACTTTTTTATCTCTTTTTTTCGCTGTAACTCTGGACGCTCCGAGAATATCTCGTGAGATGAACAGCAATTTCAGAGATCAAGATGAGCCCTTTAATGCGAATGATACGAGCCAGAGTGAATATCCCTCGTTGGTGCAGGAGGACTTTCCTTCGAGCAGCGAATATGTTTCACTTTTTGGTGTAATGGAAAACAAGCGAAGCTTCGGTGAATCGCTTTGTAAAAGTCTCAAGGCAACGCTAACCATCATCTTAGCTGTAATTCCTTTGGTTATTTTGGGAGTGATTCTGATTTATTTTGATCTGAGAACAGTCGATTTGTGTTTTCAATTGCTGACAAAGTCAAACGATACCCTCTCCTTCGATGTCTTGAAAATTCGTTTAATGGGTGATGGAATTGATGTTGTGATCCTAAGCTTATGGTTTCCATTGAGTCTAGTGATTCTGTTTGGTTGGAGGAAGTTTAAAAGTCAATATTCTCTGACCGTATTCGTAGCGCTATTGGCCGCTCTACTTTATACATTGTATTTGAGCTTTTTACTTCTGTATCATTTTTATGACAGAAGCCTATGGTATCGTGTACCAGGCAATGTACTGTTTGCAACCGCCATTTTAGTGGTAAGCGCTATTGTTGTTCGCAAGATAAGACAATGTGACCCTGGCATATCCTACTCAAATTGTCAGATATTCACAGTAATCTCCTGTCCATGGTTACTATTTTTTGCGATAACAATGCTCTACAGGTACGCACTTGTTCGCTGGTTCATTACCTTTGAAAGCGCGTTTTCCAGGTTCATTGTGGCGATGATGACGCCAGCGTTGTCACTCTTACTCTCAGTCATTTGCAGACACATGGCATTGTGGCGTAGCTCACAAATTATCAGCCCTGAACGAAGCTTTGGCCTTGTTTATTTCATCCATGCTGCCGGGATAATACTCTATCGGTTATTGCAGGCGGATTTTAAGAATATTTGGTGGTTTATTGGACTATCTATTGTCTCTGGTACCTCAGGGGTCCTCAAGGCCGCGACTGTTGGCATCAGGGAGAAAATATGGTCAAGAATTATCCCGTTTTGGAACAAAATATGTTGCATTAGACTGCGGCATCTACCTGGAAACACGCCTCGTCATAGACGATTGAAAGCTGACATGAATATTCAAAATATACTGTTTGATAGCAATTCATTAATTCTAATCCAGGCTTATATCGTGCTCTATCAAATCACAAGTTTTGAAATGTCTGCTGGGACTGTCCTAAAATCATCCCTGATAAGAATTGCGATCGGCATTAGCATTGAAATTGTGTGTAATTTCATATCCACTTTTATCCACATCCATTGGCGTAATATACCCATTGCGCGTGCGTGGTCGATGGCCTGGAAACAACACATGTTTGCTAATAGTGTCTTCATGGTGTGTTTGGTGACGTATTTCACCAAACCTTTGCTCGTAGTATTTCAACACCGTTTTCATGATGACCCTGTCTTTGGTTTAGGGGTTTACACCATAAGGAATTGTACTCTGCCATTTTAAAACTGGTGTCGACTGCGTAGGTCGTTCACTGCCAAAGCAAACAGTATTCAATGGTTTTCCAAGTGAAGTTCTAGCACACTAAAAACTGTAGTATAATCTTGAACCTCTAGAGAATATTTATAAGCGGCAACGATTGTTATTCGTGACAAACGTGGGCTAAAAAACGTGATAATTGGTATTGTAGCAGATGAATTCATCTCTAATAATCGTGTGTTTCGCAAATGTAGTTTCGTAAATCCAGTTTCATCCTAAAGCATGTCATTGTTTTATTAAATAATACACCATAAAGAATTTTTATTTTGTTTCCGTTTTTTGAAAGGCAACCCGCAGTTATAAACTGTTCCGTCCCTATAGGCTATAATATAAATGTGCAGTTATATATAAATAAAAAAACAAGGAGCTTCTCTTTGAATTCAAATCACATTGTGATTCAAATGACCGTACGTCTAAATGAATACCGAACAATCACAAACACAACAGCATCGGTTCAGCGTGAAGGAATGTGATAATTTGTCGACAACTTAATTCGTCGTTCAACTATACCGTCTGTATATAGTAAAAAGTCAACGAGGTACCAACAGGTGATTCATAACTCGATATAGTCCTCAATCGCTTAAAACTTTCAAAATGTTGGACGACATTATCGCTACTTTCTTATCTCTTTTTTTCGCCGTAACTGTGGACGCTCCGAGAATATCTCGTGAGATAAACAACAATTTCAGAGATCAAGATGAGCCCTTTAATGCGAATGATACGAGCCAGGGCGAATATCCCTCGTTGGTGCAGGAGGACTTTCCTTCGAGCAGCGAATATGTTTCACTTTCTGGTGTAATGGAAAACGAGCGAAGCTTCGGTGAATCGCTTTGTAAAAGTCTCAAGGCAACGCTAACCATCATCTTAGCTGTAATTCCTTTGGTTATTTTGGGAGTGATTCTCGTTTATTTTGATCTGAGAACAACCGATTTGTGTTTTCAACTACTAACAAAGTCAAACGATACCCTCTCCTTCGATGTCCTGAGAATTCGTTTAATCGGTGATGGAATTGAAATTGTGATCCTCAACTTGTGGTTTCCAGTGGTTCTAGTAATTCTATTTGGTTGGAGGAAGTTTAAAAGTCAATATTCTCTTACCGTATTCATAGCGCTATTGGCCGCTCTACTTTATACATTGTATTTGAGCTTTTTACTTCTATATCATTTTTATGACAGAAGCCTATGGTATCGTGTACCAGGCAACGTAATATTTGTAACCGCCATTTTAGTGGAAAGCGCTATTGTTGTTCGCAAAATAAGACAACGTGACCCTGGCATATCCTACTCAAATTGTCAGATATTCACAGTAATCTCCTGCCCATGGTTACTATTTTATGTGATAGCTTTGCTTTACAGATACGCGCTTGTCCGCTGGTTCATTACCTTTGAAAGCGCTTTTTCCAGGTTCATTGTGGCGATCATGACGCCAGCGTTGTCACTCTTACTCTCAGTCATTTGCAGGCACATGGCATTGTGGCGTAGCTCACAAATTATCAGCCCTGAACGAAGCTTTGGCCTTGTTTATTTCATCCATACTGCTGGGGTAATACTCTATCGACTATTACAGGCAGATTTTAAAAATATTTGGTGGTTTATTGGACTATCCATTGTCTCTGGTACCTCTGGGGTCCTCAAAGCCGCGACTGTTGGCATCAGGGAGAAAATATGGTCAAGAATTATCCCGTTTTGGAACAAAATATGTTGCATTAGACTGCGGCATCTACCTGGAAACACGCCTCGTCATAGGCGACTGAAAGCTGACATGAATATTCAAAATATACTGTTTGATAGCAATTCATTAATTCTAATCCAGGCTTATATCGTGCTCTATCAAATCACAAGTTTTGAAATGTCTGCTTGGACTGTCCTAAAATCATCCCTAATAAGAATTGCGATCGGCATTAGCATTGAAATTGTGTGTAATTTCATATCCACCTTTATCCACATCCATTGGCGTAATATACCCATTGCGCGTGCGTGGTCGAAGGCCTGGAAACGACACATGTTTGCTAATAGTGTCATTATAGTGTGTTTGGTGACGTATTTCACCAAACCTTTGCTCGTAGTATTTCAACACCGTTTCCATGATAACCCTGCCTTTGGTTCAGGGGTTTACACCATAAGGAATTGTACTCTGTCATTTTAAAACTGGGATCGATTGCGTAGGTCGTTCACTGCTAAACCAAACAGTGTTTAATGGTTTTCCAAGTGAAGTTCTAGCACACTAAAAACTGTAGTATAATCTTGAACCTCTAGAGAATATTTATAAGCGGCAACGATTGTTATTCGTGACAAACGTGGGCTAATATACGTGATAATTAGTATTGTAGCAGATGAATTCATCTCTAATAATTATGTGTTTCGCAAATGTAGTTTCGTAAATCCAGTTTCATCCTAAAGCATGTCATTGTTTTATTAAATGATGCACCATAAAGAATTTTTATTTTGTTTCCGCCTTTTGAAAGGCAACCCGCAGTTATCAGCTGTTCCGTCCCTATAATATAAATGTGCAGTTATATATGAATTAAAAAAGAACAAGCTTCTCTTTGAATTCAAATCCATTGTGATTCAAATGACCGACGTCTGAATGATTAACGAAGTTCTACGTAAACACTTTCAATTTAACACTTTTAAAATGTTGGACAGAATCATTTCTACCCTTTTATCCTTGTTTTCCGCGTTGGTTATGGGCACTCCACGAATTTCTCGCGAAGTGAACGACAGTAGAAGTGCCTTGGAGCAGGATGGCCAGCTTAATGATACGATTTACAGCGAATATGCCTTGTTTGGGGAAGAGAACGTTCCTTCGAGCAGGGATTATATTGAATTGGGTTATGAAATCGAAAGCAGGCGAAGCTACAGGCAGTCGTTCCTCAGAAGTCTCAAGGCAACCCTAACTATCATCTCGGCTGTAGTCCCTTTGGTTATTTTTGGAGTGATTCTCATTTATTTTGATCTAAGAACAATCGATTTGTGTTTTCAATGGATGATAAAATCAAACAATACCCTCTCCTTCGATGTGCAGAGAATTCGCTTACTGGGCAATGGAATTGACGCTGTTGTCGTTAACGTTTTGTTTCCAATGTTTCTGGCGCTTCTGTTTGGTTGGAAGAAGTTTAAAAGTCAATATTCCTTAACCGTATTGGTTGGGCTGTTAACCGCTCTACTTTATACATTGTATTTGAGCTTTTTACTTCTGTATCGTGTTTACGACACAAGCCTATGGTATCGTGTCCCGGGAAACGTACTGTTTGCAATCGCTGTTATAATGGAAAGCGCTATTGTGGTTAGCAAGATCAGACAATGTGACCCGGGCATATCCTACCCAAATCTACAAATCTTCATTATTGTTGCTTTTCCGTTTTTCCTGGCCTTTGCGGTTGCTATGTTTTACAGATATGCTCTTGTCTACTGGTTTATTTCGCTTGAAAATGTCTTATTCAGATTCATTGTGGCCATTACAGCTCCGACCTTGACGCTCGTGCTCGCAGTTATTTGCAGGCGCATGGCGTTACGATGTAGCTCGCAAGTCGTCAGACCTGAACGAAGCTTTGCCCTTGTTTATTTCATACCCGCTACCGGAATAGTTGTGTATCGGATAATGCAGGCGAATTTTAAGAATATTTGGCTGTTTGTAGGATTGTGTATTGTCTCGGGTGTTTCCAGAGTCCTTAAAGTGGCGACTGTAAATATCAGGGGGAAGGTCTGGGCGAGAATCATCGAGATTTCGAACAAAATATGCTGTTTCACACTGCATCGTTCGCACGAAGATACGCCGCATCATAGACGACTGAAAGCTGACATGAATATTCAAAATATACTGTTTGATAGCAACTCGTTAATTCTCAGCCAAGCCTATATCGTGCTCTACCACATCACAAGTTTTGAAATGTCTGCCTGGACTGTTCTTAAATCGTTTTTTATCCTGACTGCGATCGGACTGGGCATAGAAATTGTCTTCATTTTCTTAGCCACTTTTATTCAAATCCACTGGCATAATATACCCATTGCGCGCGTGTGGTCGAAGAACTGGAGACGACATGTATTCGGTAACGGTGTTGTTGTGATCGGCGTTGTGACGTACTTCACTAAACCGTTAATCACGGTGTTTCAAAATCGCTTCCAGAACAACCCAGTCTTCGGTGCGAAGAATTACACCATAAGAAACTGTACTCCCTCCTATAAGAACTGGTATTGATAAACAAGCTATCGGCTTAGACCATCTCGCCCATGTTTCTAACAATACTTCATCATGAGGATTTTGCATAGATTATAGTTTGTTATTGATAAAGCAGTAATGCGTTGCAGTGAGTCGATTTGCTGCCCATATACTTTGCAAGTCAACAGACTAGGTATAAAGCATCCACCAGAAGTTAATTTGCCGTGAACCTATAGTTATATAAAGAGTCTTTATGTAATCATTGTTTTCTAACTGGCTATAGTCATTAGTTACTGACACGGTTCAATGTGTTTGTTAATTGGCAGTGAGTGGCCTATTCTAAACTTGAGTGTTTCCTCAATAGCGTCTTCCTGTATTCTCAAACTATTAAATTTTGAAGTGCTAATTTAATATTTCTTGCTGCTTTGCAATGTTTTATTCAATGTTTCTCTTTCAACCTTCCTCAATGTCAGTTGATCATTGCAGTACTGCTAGTCTGACTGAGTGTTGACTGTTGCTACTAATACAAGCCTGACTAGTCTAGTACTTACTGCTTTGCAATGTTTTATTCAGTGTTTCACTTTCAACCTTCCTCAATGTCAGTTGATCATTGCAGTACTGCTAGTCTGACTGAGTGTTGACTGTTGCTACTAATACTAGCCTGACTAGTTTAGTACTTACTGCTTTGCAATGTTTTATTCAGTGTTTCTCTTTCAACCTTCCTCAATGTCAGTTGATCATTGCAGTACTGCTAGTCTGACTGAGTGTTGACTGTTGCTACTAATACTAGCCTGACTAGTCTAGTACTTACTGCTTTGCAATGTTTTATTCAGTGTTTCTCTTTCAACCTTCCTCAATGTCAGTTGATCATTGCAGTACTGCTAGTCTGACTGAGTGTTGACTGTTGCTACTAATACTAGCCTGACTAGTTTAGTACTTACTGCTTTGCAATGTTTTATTCAGTGTTTCTCTTTCAACCTTCCTCAATGTCAGTTGATCATTGCAGTACTGCTAGTCTGACTGAGTGTTGACTGTTGCTACTAATACTAGCCTGACTAGTCTAGTACTTACTGCTTTGCAATGTTTTATTCAGTGTTTCTCTTTCAACCTTCCTCAATGTCAGTTGATCGTTGCAGTAATGCTAGTCTGACTGAGTGTTGACTGTTGCTACTAATACTAGCCTGACTAGTTTAGTACTTACTGCTTTGCAATGTTTTTCAATTTTTTTGATATTTCTTTTATTTTTAACTTTTGTAAATGCAATAAGAACAAGTGCCAGTACATGGTCTAAACGGAAATAAATAAATTCGTATTTTTTCGAAACGTTTCTCTAGGATCAGGTTGGCGATCACCGTGATTGCTTCATTCCCAACCCATCATGCAAGAACATGAAAGTTTTCCATTGGCTGGGGAGGTTAATGGGAGCTGCTTATCGCAGTGACGAGACTCTGGCCTTGTATTTCCCGCCGTATGTTTGGAAACTATTGGTTGGTGAGCATGTCACGTGGACTAAAGACTTTGCCAACGTCGATGCCCTCGCTGTGAACATGATCAGTAAGTATAAGAGTAACATAAGAACGTCCAGGTCTTGTATATAGACCTTTATGCTAAGACTGTGCTGTGACGTAGTTGGCGGACAAAGCATGTCTCTGATTGGCTAACTGGATGCGCGTTATCCAATCAGAAACGCGCTCTGTCTGTAATTCATACGTCAAGTATCCGTTTGCATTTCAGTCGTTGCGTTTCCCGCTAAAGGTCTGTTTAACACGATCCAATTTTGTTGGATCCAATTCACTTCTGATGGATGTTTTATAGTCTGTTGTCTTGTAATGTTTATGGGCAGCAAATCCACTGAAGCCAATGCAGTGCTGCTTTATCAATAACTGACTATATTTCATACGTCAAAAGCGAATTGAATCCAAAATAGATGCAAAATAGATCATAACATGCTTTTTTGTTCAGACAACTTTGAATCGATGAAGAGGGAAGAATTTGATGCAACGTACGGAAAAGATCTCGACTTTACTACGGCGTTCAGTGACGGCACGATAGAATCTGTCAAGGAAAATGGCCATCAATTGCTGGTCGATTATGAAACGAGACTAGAATATTGTCAACTTGTGAAGAAGAGTAGGATGATGGAGTTTTTGGATCAGGTATGAATCTGATGTTGCTGTTATTGGCTTAGTGAGAAAACAATACCTTAGTTTTAAAGGCAATATTTGAGTCTTAAAACAAGACGACAAATTCTCGGTGATTTTTTCAAAGTCATTGGCAATTCAGAATAGTCGGAGGTTTGAGAATGCCTTTGAAAAGATGCCTTCGAAAATCGAAATATTACAGTAAATTTGTCGTCCTTGTTTAAAGCTAAAGTCTTGTGTTACAAGTTACGATGATGCTCTTCGGAGTTTTTTTTTGCATGTATTTTTTGTTTGCTGGTAAAAGTGTTTTTTATCCTCAACTCAATCCTTAAAGTCGCATACGTTGTTCGTCCAGAAGCACCAATCATCTATAGCTAAACATTGTTTTAATTTCTTTTTTCCAAGATCACATCCATCCGCGATGGTTTTCTTACCGTCATCCCGCAGTCATTACTAGAATTGATCACATCACATGAACTTGAGAGAGGTGTTTGTGGTTTCAACGAAATCTCCATGTCTTTACTGAAAGAATCAAGTAAGTGCTTTTTAAATACCTTTTTTGAAAAATCTATTTATTTCTATAAAAAATTACACAAAATATGTCCATGACAGCAAACAGTTCGTAAACAGATTTCTAACAGTTTGTTTGGAAACAGATTTCTAACAGTTTGTTTGGAAACAGATTTCTAACAGTTTGTTTGGAAACAGATTTCTAACAGTTTGTTTGGTAAAAGTTTGCTATCAGATTGTTTGGAAACATATTCCTAAGAATAAAGCCATCTTGAGATGCAAAATTTGAATTAAACGATAATCAAATATAAATATTATAAAAATGAATAAATTTTCTTATCTTCAGACACAATGAAACATAACAGTTGAGTAACATGAAGGCGCATGCGTTAAGTCGGTTGAACCCAGTTTGTCTTTTAAAAATAACGCGCAAGATGTGATAAGCGGTTTATATTTTAGTTCATTATGGCGACGAACTGTCTTCTGACTCGGAGTGTGTAGCTCAGTTGTGGAAGGTGTTAGAAAATTTTACTGCCGACGATCGCAGTCGGTTTCTTCGCTTCGTAACCGGCCGGAAACGACTGCCAGCGTGTATCACGATTTCTCAGATGTGTGGCGAGAAAGATACTTTACCCGGGGCCTCAACTTGTGCCAGCACTTTGATGCTTCCCTCGTATTCATCTGTTGAAGTGGCCGAAAAGAAACTACGGTAAGTTTTTCTTTCTAAACTGTTCTTCCTAGTGGTCCAGTGAGGAGCATCTCTTATTGATCCTGTGTTACTACAGGAGGAAACCTAAACTAAACTAACTTTGTTTATACTGGATAGCTCTATCAGTTCTAAACTGTTCTTCCTAGAGGTCCAGTAAGGATCATCTCTTATTGATCCAGTGTTACTACAGGAGGAAACCTCAACTAAACTAACTTTATTTATACTGGATAACTCTATCAGTTCTAAACTGTTCTTCCTAGAGATCCAGTAAGGATCATCTCTTATTAATCCAGTGTTACTACAGGAGGAAACCTAAACTAAACTAACTTTGTTTATACTGGATAGCTCTATCAGTTCTAAACTGTTCTTCCTAGAGGTCCAGTAAGGATCATCTCTTATTGATCCAGTGTTACTACAGGAGGAAACCTCAACTAAACTAACTTTATTTATACTGGATAACTCTATCAGTTTTAAACTGTTCTTCCTAGAGATCCAGTAAGGATCATCTCTTATTGATCCAGTGTTACTACAGGAGGAAACCTAAACTGAACTAACTTTATTTATACTAGAAGCTCTGCCAGTTTTTCTTCCTAGAGGTGCAGTAGGAATCTATGCATGAATATTATTTCAGAGACAAGTTCCTATAACATCCATGATTGATTCACTCTTTGCCCATTCGTAGGTATGCTATTTACAACTGCGTTGAAATCGACACAGACACAAGTCCTTGGTAATCGTTCGAAGTTTGAAAATTATATAACTTTACTACACGTGGAGTTTATACATTCACATTCACGTCCTAATACTAAACAAGAAACGAGGCTAAGAGCACAGGCAAGCAAGAATTACATGAGGAAGATAAATCTCAAATTAGCTACGAAATGCAATGATAATAATCCCAATAATGTATGTATGCTGTGATGTTTCGTGCCCGTGGCCTGGCAATGGTTTGTGGTATTGTGTCATTCGCAACCAATGTTAAACCTGTTAGATGGTTCAGAATATGGCAAAATATACTCGAGTCAGTTATCATTGGTGGATATCCTTGATTGATATGTCAACTGCACGTATACAGGTGTTCAAAAGATATATAGTTTGATGATGTGTTGCAGTTCAACCCAGGCGAAAGGTTGTGGAAAATTTTGGCTCCATATCAAATCCTTGATTTTGTGTTCAATATATATCTCGCTTGAATTAAGATGTTACGTTAAACAGATCTTTGCCTCGCACAAGGGACAATTAGGACCATTTCCAGGACGTTAAATAAAAGTTGAAAGGCTAGCTTGTGTGCATGCATGGATCAACTCTATTGCTCTCTGAAGATTTCTGCACTAATTCTTATTTATTGAATGGAAATATATATTATTCTAAAATTTTGTACGACGGTTATACAGTATATAAAATTGTGTATAAAATACATTATATAGCAATAAAATTATTTAAATTAAACAGTTATCCTTTTTGCTTTGCATGCCTTTGTTGGTATGGACATGGTTTTAAAGGCATCGAGAAGATGGAAAATAAAAAAACCCCTTAAATAACTAACTTTATTTATACTGGACAGTTCCTTCCTAGAGGTCCAGTAAGGATCATCTCTTATTGATCCAGTGTTATTACAGGAGGAAACCTAAACTAAGCTAACTTTATGTATAGTAGATCAGTTCTGAAATGTTCTTCCTAAAAGTCCAGTCCATTATCCCATCGAATTGATCCTGCATTCTCAATGTTTGTAGGTAGACAATCTACATGTGAATTGTAGTCCATACGGAAACCAATCCTTGGTAGACGCGTTTGGAGTTTTGTAAGTAATCTCTTAGAAACACCTGAAGTTTTTTACTTTCCTTAAATTCCAACGGATACACACAAGAAACGTAGCTTGGCTTATGATTTGTGCTGACATCACTCATTCAAAGAATGATGCAAAATATATACGCCTATGTGCACAGGTATAGGAGAATATATCGCATATATTAGCAGTTGTCACTCCAAAGGAAATCGCGCGTGCAGCGGTCTAAGCAGTGCAAACCAGTTGTGCAAACATCTGAGA